GCTTGACAGAGGCTTGTTTAAAAGTAAGATTGGGGAAAATTTAGGGAGGGAGGGAGGATGTATGTGAGTGAGAAAGAGACTTAGTTTTATAAAATCATGAAAAAAAGGTTGTGACTGCAAGGGAGAGACGGCTCAAAGGTGCGAGGGAGGGATGGGTAGAAATGGACATGAGAGGAAATGGACATAGTGAACTGAAGCAACTGATTGTTTGAACATTGAGGAAGGGTTTGTGTGTCAGAGAGAGAGGGAGGGAGAGGGAGAGGGAGAGAGAGACTCTCACACACAGAGACTTGACTTTTCCATAAAACCATGAAAAAAGGAACATTGCAAAATTTAATCTCCATTGCATTTAGCTCTTCTGAGAACAGCAAATATTTCAAGGTAGTAATTGTACAATTAGCTGTTTAAGTAATGTTCTTTGGCATTTTGAAAAAAGCCTCCATTGAATTTATTTTTATTTTTTTAACATGACTGGTTCTTGGTCAGAATTGTAATAAAATTGTATTGATTGCGGGTTTAATGTGGATTCAAATGAAACATTCAATATGTCCTCCTTTGTCCTCCTTTTTGTCTTTCTATGTCCTCCTTTTGGTACCAATGTATCTGGCAACCCTATGCCCACAGAGACTGGCGAAATGTTAGGAAGAAAAACCTTAAGAACACGGCCAAACAGCCTGGAAAACCCACAACAACCATTGGACCCTGGCTGTGGAATCCTTCCAGAATACATTTCTTTCTTTCTCTTCCTTCCTTCCTTCCTTCCTTCCTTCCTTCCTTCCTTCCTTCCTTCCTTCTCTTCACCCTTTCCCTTTCTTTTTCCTTCTGGTTCTTAGCATTTCCTGCAAAAATTCCCAAGAGCACATTTGCACATAAAAGCAAAAACAAACAAAACAAAACAAAGCAAAACAAACAAACACTGTTCTGTTGGTATAAGTTAGCAGAGTTTTTGTCCCATTAAAGGCAGTCCAGTTGATTCACACAGACAAAGACAGCTTCTTCCAACACCAAGTGTATTTATAGTATATACAGAAGTTCAGCAGTACAAACCGGCAGCTTGACAACATGACATTCATTAGAAGAGATCCGTACCTCTTATCCACATGTCCACACAGTTATACACATGCACAGCCAATCAGTGTGGACACTGCATCATCCCAGACTGCATTATTCAGCATTTTGCACACCTGTCAAGTATGGCTGCTGATTATCATGGGACTTGTTCTGCCTCAGTGTGGAAATTATTCTTTTCACCCCTCCTAATTTACACCTGAGCACAACGTATTCCCAACTCTTCAGTTAGTTCTCTGTGTCTTCGCACATTCAGTGGTTTTGTTAGAAAGTCTGTCACATTTTTTTCTGTTTCACAATACTGCAGTTGAATTTTGCCTCTCTAACATTGTGATATTTAATATCAATGTGTTTGCTTCTACTTCTCATTGTTTCTGTGGTTGCCATCTGTACACATGTGGCGCTGTCCTCAAACACTGTTATGGCCTGATCAACTTTAACTTTCAGATCTATAAGCAATTGCTTATACCACACTAAAAAGGTAAAGATAAAGGTTCCCCTTGACAATTTCTGTCCAGCTGTGTCTGACTCTACGGGGCGGTGCTCATCCCCGTTTCCAAGCCATAGAGCCAGCGTTTGTACGAAGACTATCTCCCGTGGTCACATGGCCAGTGCGACTTAGACATGGAACGCTGTTACCTTCCCACCGAGGTGGTCCCTATTTATCTACTTGCATTTGCATGCTTTCGAACTGCTAGGTTGGCCGGAGCTGGGACAAGTGATGGGCACTCACTCCGTCGCGTGGATTCGATCTTACAGCTGAAGATCTACAGACCTTACAGCACAGAGGCTTCTGTGGTTTAACCTGCAGTGCCACCACGTCCCTGTTATACCACACTAGCTCTGAATATACTTCTGAAAGAGCAGCAAACTCTGCTTCAGCAGTGGATGTGGCAACAAAACTTTGCTGCCTTGATTTCCATCCCACCAATATCACAGCAAACTTTATTGTGAAAGTTGATACTGATTTCCTCTCAGCTATGTTGTTGACCCAATCCCTATTTACATAAACCTTTAATTTTAAATCACTAGAGGGTTGTATTAACAAACATGTGTCAAGGGTACCTTTTAGGTATCTAAATATTCTTGTCACCCCCAACCATTGTTTTTGTGCTGGCTTTGCACTATGCCTACTCAGAATATTGACTCCTACAGCAATATCTGGCCTTGTCCAGTTTGCTGGATATTGTAAACTTCCAATTTTTGATTGGTACGAATCAGCATGGGGTCATGAAGAGTCAGACACGACTAAACAACAACGACACTTCTTCTTCTTCAAACTCTTTGCTTTAATCCTCTGACTTTTGAAAATCTACTGTCATGGGTGTCTGTACACTTTTGCAGTCCTGCATGTTGTATTTTATTAGCATTTCCTCTATCATTAATCTCTGATTTAGGACATAACTATTGTATTTTTTTCTGAATTGGAACCCCCAAATAATTCTGCATCTGCGCTAAGTTCTTTAGTTTGAACTACTTTTTCAATTGTTTTCCAAACAGATCAATTTGAGCTTGTTCCTTTGACATAAAGCATATGCCACCAACATATGCTAGCAAAATATTTTGCTCTTTTCCATTTTCTTGGACATAAAGGCATGGGTCTGCCAGGCTACTTTTAAACTTCAGTCATTTCAGTGCTGAATCTAGACACTGGTTCCAATATCGTCCAGACTGTTTAAACACATAAATTGCCTTGTTTAACTTATACAACAATTCCTGGTTGCATAGGTTAAACAAGGCAACCATTCCTATACAACCATTCCAGGTTGAGAACTCTCAAACCCAGGTGCCTGAGCCATGTATCTGCATTCTGCATTCAAGTATGCTGTAGTTATGTCAAAGTGACTAACCAAGTAATTTCTTGAAGTAGGCAGAGTTAATGCTTGCCTCAGAGATTCTACCTTTTACTGTTGGGGGAAAAAACTCATCAA